CTTTGACATACAATTACTTAAAATAGTACAAATTCATTGATTTCCTAAACTACTTACCTTAGTTAAAAGAACTAAATATAATTTCACCTATACTTTAAGATCATTATCTCTACAACCTTCCCCCTTTATCATTTCAACTCTAAAACAGATTATCTTCAAACTTTCAAAAACGTACACATTGTATTATTTTATTTTTCATATATCACTCGCCTTTAGTTTTACCTTCTAGCATCCTCCAATATCAGACTTTTATCCTAAATTATTTTATTCTTCTGAATTCAATCAAGATGGACAAGGTATGAAAGATGGAAATAACAAAAATGGTAAATGGATGAGGCCCTTACATCATCTTGCAATTTCATAAACTTTCATAAAATGTTCATAAAATCAGGATCTTTTTGGTGTCTTGATCCAATACTATGCATAACACCAAAATTAAAAAGTATTGCCACTAGGGTTCTAGTCCATACATAAAATGTTTAAACATGTCTCTGCAAACAATGGATGACTACAGACAGGTTCTCTCAGTCACACACTTTTCTCAGTATTGTTAAAGTGCCTTCAAAAAGTCCAATCAAAACACTGGCTTTCAAGATGATCTCTTGAGCCGGTTAAAATAAAGGCAGAGAGAGAAGCTCAGAAAGTTACAATGATTGTTTCTTAAGATTCCAAAGGTTGACAGATTTTCCTGAAGGACACAGGACAATCATTTAGGCTTACTATGAAGATGTTTTAAGAAAATAAAACACTGCATTGATGAGAAAACAAATGGCTATTTAACCTAAAAGGTTGAGGAAACTGCATTGAAAAACAAAATAAGAAGCCTCTCACTTCTCCAACCTCAAAACCTTTTACACAGCCACAGCAGTTAAAACACCCTGGTATGGGTACAAATACAGATACACATGCCACTCGAACAGAATACAAAACCAAGAAATAAATTCGACTACCAACAAACAACTAACTGATCTTCGACAAAGAGCCAAAAAACATTAAATAGGACAGACATAATCTTCAACAGATGGTGTGGGAATAATTGAATTTCCGTTTGTAGAGGAAGGAAATGTCTCCCATGTCTCACCCACGTACAAAAATATGCACTAAATATGGGTCAAATACCTAAATGTAAATCTCAGACCTATAAATATCAATGAGAAAACAGGGACAAACTTAAGGGTCCTATTGCAGGGCAGAAGCATTAACAACAACAAAAAACACAAAGGAAATACACATAGGAGATGACAAAAGAGATTACTAGAGTCTAATAACAATAAGACATTTAGGTTTATCCAAAGACAGGATTGTAACAAACTGATAGCCTTGAGAACAAAGGTAATTCCAGAACACTTCATTGTGCTCATGAGGAACATGCACATGGATCAAAAGGTAGTTGTGCCAAGAAAACAAGGGAATAGTGCATGATGGTTTAAAATCAAGAAAGGTATGTTCCAGGGTTGTATCCTCTCAGCATACTTAGTAAATTTGTATGTTGAGAAATAGTCTGAGAAGCTTATATGGAAAAAAAATGTGGCAAAAGGACTGGAGGAAGGCTTATTAACAACCTGTGATATGCAGCTACACAACCTTACTTGGTCAAAGTGAGGAGGACTTGAGGCACTTAAAGATCAACAATTGCAGCCTTCAGTATGGACTACAACTGAATGTAAAGAAGACCAAAATCATTACAACTGAACCTACAGGTAACACATTATGATAAGTGAAGAAAATATTGAAATTGTCAAGGATTTTTTCTTGCTTGGATCCACAATGATTGCTCATGAAAGCAGCAGTCAAAAGATCAAAAGACAGGTTCACCAGGCAAATCTGCTGCACAAGACCAGTTTAGAGAGTTAATAAGCAGGAAGGTTTGGGCCAAAACAAATCCAGGGGTATGTATCTTATGGTAGCCAACTAAAAAGGAGATGGGGAACCAAAAAACGATAGAAATGTATAGTGGGGGAACAGGGCACTAATCCAGGGAGGATTTTGTTCATAGCTCCACAGGGAAAGAAGGACCAGACTTTAACCTGGTGTTCTGGGATGTGAATGCAGCGCATCGGCATGAAGTGGGTAGCCAGTGGAGTGGGGGTCTGAGGGTCCAGCCCCAAACCCAACTATGTGGACATCTGCCCCTCCCCCCCAGAAGAATTTAGTTCAGAGGACAGCATTGAAACTGCAGCTCAGGGAGAGGGACATGTCTGATCAGAACACACAGGAGCAAATGAAGGGGGAAGAAGAGAGAGTGGAGCACATCCTGGCCCACCAAGCCTTGAGGATGATATACCCGCTCAGGGCAGCCAATCCACAGAGAAGACCATATGGCTGGTTCCACTATGAGACACGACATCCCCCACTGACCCACAGCCCTACAGGGGACAACACTGGACACACAGTGTGGGAACTGCGCCTGATCTGACCCCACAACACTAAGGGCGTGCAACAGAACAGCAAAGGGAACAAAGCAAGGAAGCCGCCAGGGAACACCAAAAATAGACTTTAGGGCCAGGGCATGGCACCCCATCAGACACGACTGGAGGATACTCCTAGACATAATCAAACAGACCTTGAACTATTTACAGGTTTTTCTTTTACTTTTTAAAAAAATCTATTTGTCCTTGGTTTTTTTGGTGGTGTCATTTTTTTCTTTTGTCGCTTTGTTTTGCTGTCTTGTTTTTTGTGTGGATATTATTATCTCTGCAGGTCTGTCTAGATAAGATAGGCCAGATGAACAGCCTGGAGGAGAAAAAAACAGGACCGATGGTTCCGGGGGGACATGGGAGAAGGGGAGGCATGGGAAAGGAGGTGGTGTTGACCAACCCAGGGAAAAGGGAAAAACAAGTGATCCTAAATCAGTAGCAAGTAGAGTGTGAGAGGTCTGGTAAGGAATGATCAATGGCAGTGTAACTGAGAGAAATTACTAAAACCCAAATGAAGGTTGAGCATGATAGAGGGACAAGAAGAAAGTATAAGGAAATAGAGGAAAGAACTAGGAGGCAAAGGGCATTTATAGAGGTCTAAATACAGGCATGTACATATGTAAATATCTTTA